GATAATTAGATTTGCAGATAATAGAAGTCTTGAAGCGGAGGGTTCAAGAAGGGTTGTATTACATGTAGACATTGAAGAAGAAGTTGTAATTGAGGATGTTTTGTATGTACCGGGACTGAAAACCAATTTGATTAGCCTTGGTCAACTCTTGCAAAATGGTTTTGCTGTCAAAATGAAATATAATTGTCTAAGTGTATTTGATCAAAATAAAAGGTTGGTGGTCAATGCTAATCTCTCTAAAAATAGAACGTTTCAGGTGATTGTGGAAGCTGTCAGGCACTAGTGTTTCGTTGCAGCAACAAATGAGTCAAAATGGTTGTGGCAGTCACATTATGGACATTTGAATTTTAAGGATCTGTCCAGGTTAAGTCAAAATACTATGGTTAAATACTTATCGCTAATCAAAGTACCTAAAACTGTGTGCAAGGAGTGTATCGAGTGCAAGCAAACCAGAAACAGTTTCTAGAAAATAATACCATGTAAGTCTGCAACAAAGTTTGAAATCATTCACACTGATGTATATGGACCCATGCAGATTGATACACTAGGTGGCAATAGATATTTCGTTCTCTTGATATATGACTGGACAAGGAAGACTTGGATCTATTTGCTGAGACACAAATCTGAAGTGCTGGAAATCTTTAAAAGGTTCAAGAGTATGGTGGAAAGGCAGTGTGATCAGAAAATCAAGAAGGTGAAATCTGATGATGGAGGTGAGTATACCTCTAATGAATTCAAGCGATATTGTGAAGAAATGGGTATAGTGCAGGAGATCTCACCACCATATACACTAGAGCATAATGGTACAACGGAAAGAAAGAATCGAACTGTGTTGAATATGGTGCGATGCATGCTAAAAGGCAAGAAATTACCAAAATTTTTGTGGGGTGAAGCCGCTGTTACAACCACGTACATTCTGAACCTAACACCCACAAAGAGGCTGAAGTTCATGACTCTAGAAGAAGCTTGGTCGAGTGAAAAACCCAGTGTTAGTGATTTGCGCATATTTGGATCAGTGTGTTACAAGCACGTTCCGGATCAGTTGAGAAGAAAATTGGATAACAAGGGAGTACCATTGATTTTGGTTGGCTACCATCCAACTGGTGGCTACAAGCTATTTGAACCAGAAACAGGTCAAGTAGTGGTTAGTAGGGATGTGGTGATTGATGAAGACGCTGATTGGAATTAGGAGAAGAAAGAAATAGAGAAACCAATGATAACATTGGAAGATAATACTACAGAAACGGAAGATGCAGAGGATCACAGTCATGTTGATAATCCAACTACAGTGGTGTAGAAATCCTCCAGAGTGTCACGACAACCTTCACATTTGAGAGATTATGACCTCTCCTTCGACACTACAATCACTGATGAAGGTAACTTTGTTCACTATGCCTTAATAGCTGAGTCAGAACCTGTAGAGTTTGAACAAGCAGCAGGTGATGAAAAATGGCAAAGAGCAATGCAGGAAGAGATAAAATCCATCGAGAAAAATGAAACCTGGGAGTTGTGTGAGTTTCCTGACAATAAAAGACCAATAGCATTAAAGTGGGCTTATAAAGCCAAGATAAATCTACAAGGAGTTGTAGTGAGGCATAAGGCAATTATAGTGGCAAAAGGATTCCTGGAAAGAGAGGAAATTGATTTTGGAGAAGTTTATACTCCAGTTGCACGAACAGAAATGATTAGATTGGTTGTTTCGTTGGTTGTTCATCATCACTGACCATTATATCAGCTTGATGTAAAAGCTGTTTTTCTGACTGGGAAGTTGGAGGAAGAAGTGTATGTGTCTCAGCCGCAAAGATTTGTGAAAGAAGATGCACCGAATCACGTGTATAGATTGAAGAAAGCGTTGTATGGGCTAAGACAGGCTCCACGTGATGGAACCAAAAAAATTGATGCATTCATGAGTGAAGTTGGGTTTAAAAAATGTATCTCTGAGCATGGCGTGTATGTGCAGAATTAGGTTATTGAAGGAATGTTGTCGCCGTCAAAAGAGGCGGTTGGAGCGACGTGATGGTTTTGGTTGACTTGCATTTTTTGAAAGAAGTGGCTCAACGCCTTTAGGCTGTCCGATAACCGGGCTGGACTTAAAGGCGAGGTTTTCGAAAAGGTTCGAGGAGTCGCCATGAGTGTTTTAACCTTAAACACTGAAAAAGGTAAAAAAAAAAGGCAGTGGTTTTAGAAAAAACCAACTTTGGCCATTACAACCAGAGTCGGGTAAGGGAGTTAGTTACGTATGGGGAAGATGTTAGCACCCCACAACACCCCTTTCGGGTTTCCTATGATGGACTAGTTTATAAAATAAATACTTAAAGAAACTATGCTTTTACCCTATTTATTTATCTACTAGCAAAATTTAAATATTTACATGATCGTAATATCTAATGCATACGAGAAAAACAGTAAAAGAAAGCAGTAAAAGAGAAGAGATATGAAGGAGAACCTCTGAAGCGAGCTTTTATAAATCTCGAACATGAGGACACTTTTTGGCAGTCCCCGTACTCTACAGAGTCACTCCTCCCTTGAACAAAAAATAAGAGTACCACCCTACTGAGGGTCGGACGTCTCAAAAGGAGACTTCCTTAACTGATTTCTACCTTAAACGGAAATCGGAAAGCTCACTCGAACCTTAGAATAATGCTCAGAGTCACTCTAAAGTACCAAAAGACTTCCTAGAGAGTGTAGGAGTGAAGAGGTGTGTGGAAAAGTGAGAAATGAGGGCCTATTTATAAGGAAACGAACCAAGAAAAAGTGGACGACCGTTTGGACTTAGTGGATGGTCATCCATGGCAAAAAGTGGCCATGGACAGCCGTCCATGTAGGGTGGACGGCATGGACGGCCGCTCAAGCTAAGTGGACGACCGTCCATAGCCTTAAAGTTGGCATGGACGACCGCTGACTGTCCTGGACGGCCATCTGCTGTCTCTGGCAGATTTTTCGATTTTTATTGCCTCTGAAAACCCTTCCTATCTTAAATGGAACCTAAAAAAAGCTACTAGGGACTTAACAAAGTCTTGACCATCTTCGAAACGAATTATCTTCGGCTTTATTAGGGGGCCGGACAAGATTAGGGGTCTACAAGGAAGAACAGAAAAAATGATCATATTTTTATATGTAGATGACCTTTTGGTCACGGGAAGCGGTGAGAAACTCATTTTCAAGTTCAAGATGCAAATGTTAACTGAATTTGAGATGAGTAATTTGGGAAGACTGAGTTACTTTATTGGATTTGAGTTCACTGAGCGAGAAGATGGAATGTTGATGCATCAATCACGATATGCATTGAATATGTTACGTAAATTTGAGATGGACAGGAGTAATTCTGCAAGTACTCCAGTAGAAGTAGATCCAAAGCTTGAAAGGGAACCTGAAGAAGAAGTGGTAGATCCAACAGTGTATAGGAGCATGGTGGGTAGCTTGAGATACTTGTGTAATACACGGCCAAACATGAGTTTTAGTGTTGGCCTGGTCAGTCGTTTCATGCAGAATCCCAAAACCTCTCACATGAATGCACAGTAAAGAGAGTATTGCGATATGTGCGAGGAACATTTGACTATGGTATTCTGTTGCCCAAGAAGCAAAATGAGAAGTTGAGTTTGACAGCATATTCCGATGCGGACTGGTGTAGTGACAAATTTAATAGAAGAAGTACCGCGGGGTATATCTTTTTCTTGGAGGAAGCACCAATATCATGGAGTTCGAGGAAAGAAACAATTGTGGCTCTATCCTCTTGTGAGACAGAGTACGTAGCAACATGTGAAGCATCATGTCAGGCTGTATGGTTGAGCTCTCTTATGAAAGAATTGGGGGTTGAATCGAGAAAAAAAAAATTCAGATTACTGGTAGACAACAAATCTACCATCAATTTGACTCATCATCCAACAACACATGGGAGAAGTAAATATATTAAAACTAAGTTTTATTATGTAAGAGAACAAGTCAACAATGACAACTTGGAAGTAGAGTATTGCTGTTCAAACAAGCAATTGGCAGATGTGTTCACGAACCCTCTGAAGTGTGAACGTTTTGTCCAGCTTAGGAAGTGTATTGGTGTTAGGAAGTCATAAGTGTTAGAGTATTTGACTTAGGGAGGAATGTTAACATTTTTGTAGTTAAGCTAAATATGGTTTCATGTAGTATTATTAGAAAACGTTTGTTTCTGCACCGTTTTGTTTCAGTTACTTCTTTTAGATATTTCTCTCTCCTCATATCTTTTATAAAATGTATCACTATTGCACTTTGGTTAATAAGAAAGAAGTGAGTATTACTCATCTTATCTTCACGCATTTAGTTTTCCTTATAATAACAATATAATTGAAAAATAACTAAAATCTCTAGTTAAACTTTTATATTATTTTTCAATAAGAATCCTCGTCTCCAAAGGTGTAAGTTTGCTTAAGTATTGCTTATGGGAGATTTGAGTATCTCTATTTGGTGAACTTGGCTATTATAGGAAGAGCAAACAAAAATTAGATTTTTCGACAGACAAAATCGTCGATAACTAAGAAAATTTATCAATAAATACATATTATCAATGGGTAAAAATCTATCATAAATTGTGTTGCCTTATCAATAATTTTGAAAAATCTATCCATAATTACTAACAAATATATCCATTAAAAAATCCGTCAAAACTTATACATTTTTATTTAATTATAATTCTTCTCTATTTATCTAATTTTATTTATTTATAATATCATTTATTTATTTAATTTTTTCCGATTACTAAATTTTTTTATAAAAACTTACAAATAAATTATATTTATATACAGTTGGAACAGTCTCCTATGTTAAAGACTACAATTTCCCAAACAACCAATAACCAAAAGAAAAGGAAAAAAATTGAGCAATTCAAACCAATACATACACAACAAAATACTCTTGGGAGTTAAATTATCAAAATTGCTTTTACAATTTATAACTAAAAAGGCTCTAAGGCAATGCACCATTCATTGGAGTGGTTGGCAACAATCGCTGTTTCACTAATAATTAACAACTTATTTAGCACCATTTGGTTGCTCTAGTGGCGGCTTAATGATGCCTAGTTGGCCACCATCCTTCGTTGCTAGAGTCGCTGCTTTGATCTCATTGCAGTGATTAATGAATTTGCTCACCTCCTGGTTTAACACAAATGAAACCCAAGTTAGTAAAGAAATCCAATTTACTGACAATATCACAAAAGATAAACACGCCAAATGTCCATAAAACTATCCCAGGAAACAGCATGGAACGTCCATCCACACAAACTATCAAAGGAAAACGTATATCATAATATAGATGTACATACTTTAAGACATGGTTTTCATGATCATTGAGAAACATAGAAAAGTCATAAAAAGCAATTATGGGAAACCTAATTTGCTGCTAAGCATCCATCCCCATTCCCCAGTACAAAACATACTATTCAAAACCATAAAGTCCTAAAAACATTAAAGTCGAAAAGGAATAAAGTAAGAGGCTTACACGATCGGCATCCATTTCTTTTGTGACCTTGGATGGCTTCACGAATCTCTTTCCTGCGAAGAAAAACAGTAATAGATTATTGCAAAAGATCTTACATTAGAAGGAAAAAAAAAGTAGGCAACGGTGAAACCTTTGCGAGTAACAGGGGCTTTCCCATGACGATTCGGAGGAATTGATTTTTTCTTGGCTTTACCCTTGAACAGATTCGCCTTCTGCGTCATCTCTCTCGGCGTTTCTAAGGTTAGGGTTTTACGTGCAATTAGTTTCGGAATTTTTTCAATAGGTTGAATAATACGTATCTGTTTGGGCTGTCAAACTCCGACCCGTTTTTTAACTCGGCCCATTTAAACCCACCTTCTAATGGGCTAGCCCGACGGTAAGCGGGCGAAACAACCTAAATTGAAGCATCAACAAACAGAAGCATAGCCGACAATTACCATAACATAGACAAACTGTTCACTAACAATTATAAGAGATTCCGAAAAAAATTATCCGCTAATGCTAATCTCTAACGGAGATTCGAAAAATCATCAAAGAGATTCCAAAATTAATATTATTTTTAATTTTTTCAAAATATAATTATTATTTTATAAACATGTAGATTAAATTTATACAGTTGATTCTACCGGCAAATCAAACGAAACTCAATTTTACAACTCTAATCAAAATCTAGTTTGACAGCTGGTAAGTTACAAGAATGGTTCATTGTTTGATCAGAAACATTAGTTGTGTGGAACAGCAACTGAAGTAGAGTTTCCTATGTCTGCTTGCTTGCAGGGCAGTTGTCAGCCAAGTTATAACAGGATACCTTCCCATTCTGATTCTTCAGATGTTTCTGTTCTTTGTGCCACCTATTATGATTATGCTTTCATCCTTGCAAGGATACATATCATGGAGTCAAATACAAAAAAGTGCATGCAACAATAAAGTATTATGGTTTACTATATGGAACATTTTCTTTGCAAATGTATTATCAGGGTCAGTTTTATACCGATTGACGGTCTTTCTTGAGCCCAAAGAGTTTCCCAGAGTACTAGCTGAAGCTGTACCAGCACAGGTGAGAATAATTACTTGTTTCATAAGTTAAACAAATTTCTCCAATATTTTCTAATGGTTTCACCATGTCGAGGGAATACTTTTCCTTGAAATGAAAAAGTATAACTATTTGTTGATGGTGTGACCAAAATGCTCCAAGTTGTGATCTTTCAAGGTTTACCAGTCATTCTCTTCTCTGTGGTGATGCTTTTCCATGTGTACTAGATGTATTTTCCTGTTGCTTTGGTTAGTTTCATGAAAAGTTTCTACATTTTTATAAAGAAGTTATTCAGGCAGCATGAAACCAGAAGAAAATAATGATAAATAAAGTAATGGATAATTTTTGTCCCTTTGATTCTCCCAGTTATTCTATTAATGTGTTGCTTCGATGAGTCTTAATTCTCTTATGTTGAAAGTTTGGTCAACTATCTCACGATTTCTTTATTTACTACTATTTTCCATTACCTGCATTCCCTTGCAGGATACATCTGTTATGTTGTGCATAAGATATTCATATTCTATACTTCATATTTGGTGCAGGCATCATTCTTCATAGCATATGTTGTGACTTTCGGATGGACTAACATAGCATCAGAACACTTTCAATTGATTCCACTTCTTTACAACTATATTAATATAATTTTTGTTGGAGATAGTGATAATGATGATTTTGAGGCACCATCAATTCCTTACCACAGGGAAATTCCCAGAACTCTTTTCTTTGGTCTTCTTGGTGTTACATACTTCGTCCTTTCTCGTCTAATACTTCCATTTCTCTTGGTCTACTTTTGTTTGGGATACATCATTTATCGCAACCAGGTTTGTTTTGTTTTCCCCTTTCCATATATACACTTAAATCTTCCTTATTGTATAATATAATGTGTATTTACTATAGTATGACAAGCATATTATTTGTTTATTAAAATTGATCACTTTGCAAGCTTAGGACGATTTGAGATGCAAATATGAGTGTTATCAAATAATCACAATAAAAGTTTGTCACACATATGGTCTTATTCTGTGGCAACTAAAACTTATTGTTGTTTCTCTTTCTTATTTTTATTTTTGGTTTCAAGAGGAGGATGGGAAAAGTTTGAACACGTTGTTTTTGAACTTGTTATTGTTTGAGGTTTTCTGGATTGTCTTTGGTCTTTTTCACTCTTGCTAACCGTACAATATTCTATTTTACCTTCATCAGTGTGAACACAATACTGCAACAGATCAATGAAATGAAAAGCTCATTATTTTTTGTCATATATACAATGCAAAATAGAGATAAGATGATATTGTACAATAACACTTTCTCTTAAATATTTAAGTTCATTAAATTCTTTCAAATGAGAGACACTTCCAGGAGAAAATGATTTTATGGGTGCTATGTGTGTTATCAAGCAAGCATTTCATCCACTACTTTCCCTACCACAATCCCCTAACAACTGCACAGAGGTTGAAAACAATAGTGATAATGTTTTCTTCTGATGCTTTAGTTGTGTCAATTAATTTCTTTTGTGTTGGTTCTCTCTCATATGATATGATTCCTGAGGCAAAATAGGGACAATACATGGCTATATAAAGATGAAACATGGTAGAAGGCTTCATTGTGTCTTTGAAAAACTGTTGTTAATCAATTGTTTCCCATGTGATTACAAAATTTCTTATGATATCTTAAATATGTTTCTGTGACAGCTCTTAAATGTCTATGTGGCAAAGTACGAGACTGGAGGAGAGTTTTGGCCTACAGTACACAACTGCACAATTTTTTCATTGATTTTGATGCATATTATAGTAATTGGGATATTTGGGCTGAAGAAGCTTCCACTAGCATCTGCCTTGACTCTACCTCTTCCTATTCTCATACTTCTATTCAATGAGTAATGTCGGAAACGTTTCTTTCCTATTTTCAAGGCTTATCCTGCCGAAGTATGGTGGTTCACAATTCATTCTAATTTATTTGACTTTTTTTGGTCGATTGTTATGCATGTTGTTCATTTTCCCTGTTTAGTTGTGAAGTTCTGATTGTTACTAGTTCACTTTTTGCATGCCCTAATAAGCATTGAACTTTTCATTGTATACATTTTCTTGGCTCTTGTTGAAACTCTCAGCAAACCTGGCTATTGTTTAGTTATTAACTTGCATCTTCTTTCCAAGCTATATATTAGGAAATTATAGACCCCAAAATCACTTGCATCTAACAGTTACAGATTGTAGTGCAGGGGTCTTAAGTTGGTTAATGATGTAGAGGAAAATTTGAAAAATAGCATGCTCAATAGTCATGAAATTATAAAGACATCTGGCTGTTGATTAGCCTGATGTGATTGTAAAATTTTGAGCAAGAAATATACTGTAAACATGGACACTTGTGGTTATAAAGGATGTATTCATCCCACATCTGGGGAATGGCTTGATTTAGATTATCAAAAGTCACCTTATAACTTCCTCATTGTAGTTCTTATGATGTTCATTTTGTTTCTGGGTTGGCTTCACCAAAGTTGTCTAACAATTTATGAGGAACTGTTTTCAATGTAGAGAAACACATGATGCTAAATGATTATAGCATAGCATTTCATTCTGCTTTGAAGAAACTTATTGCTGATTATTCCTTTTTCAATTGAGTGGTGTTTCCTTTTTCTTTTTCCCTTTTTGCAACATGCAGTGTTTGATCAAGAAGGACAGAGAAGACCAAAATGAGTCTTACATGTCTGAATTTTCTGATAAGTGTTTGATCTTTTCTGTTTTATTTGTTCCAGTTTGGTCTTTTTATCCTTTGTATTTCTATATTTGTTATTTTCTAGCATAAATTTAAAATTAAAAAAAGGTGCCTACTAGAATCTTATTGAATAAAATCAAGTGAAACTGAATAGCTGCTCCAAAAGCAAGAACAAGAAAACAAACTCTTCCCGGAGTCTTACCACTGAATCACCATTTCAAGTGAAACTGAATAGCTAGAACAAGCAGGAAGAGCTCCATTTGTATGTAATACAAAAAGCTTTCCATAAGATTGCACTTTTATGGATGTTTGTTAATTTACTCTTTTTATTTCTTTAAGATTCGTTTTACTGGTTGTTCCATGAGATTCCAACATTATATATTTGTTTAAATTATATTTGATTAGTAGGTATTAACATTACAAGTGATATAATTTAAAGAACATTAAAGTTCTTTATGGTTAACATATTTTAAGTGAAAACTTAATAGTAAATCATCTGGTTGTATTATGTTTCTTTAGGACATATTATACATTTTTATTAGTTATATTTTACATCATTTAAAAAATGAGTTTTGTTTCCTTTCCTACTCTAGCAAGGAGCTCTTAGGCCTAACGAAGTGGTGAGGCAAACATTTATGAATATTGTTCCGTCTAAGAATGAGAAAGTAGCCTGGTATCATGTCTATTATGATAACATCGTGAGAATCCATTATCACGTTTGATCCATTTTTCGCTTTGGAACTCAAGTTCGTCACAATTTTGTCCTTTAAAAGACATCTTGGTGGGGACCAATGTTCTGTCTGAGGGAGGTGGGGGCCAATACTCCGTCTAGGAACAAGAGAGTGTCCTAACTTTATGTCCGTTGTGATAACATCATTATGGTTTATTACCATGTTTGAGGTATTGTTTGTTTTGAAACTTTATTCTGTCATGTTTTTGTCCTTGAAAGATTCTTCCATAGGTTAAGAGAGAATGATGTATATAAACTACTTTTGGTCTCAATTCTTAAGCAACTTGAGACTCATGAATGTACAGGAACAAATATTATTATCTTTTTCCTTCTCAAATTGTTCTTTACAAAAATGTTAATAAATTACTTGTTACATAAGGAAAGAAATGAAATTGTTAGGTATTTTCAAGGAGACTAACAATAGGGAGATTCTCAATAATGGAATAAGAGCCAACCATATAAGAGAATATGACACCATCTTCAACCTAAAACCTTAAGATATTATGTTATGGGTCTTTCTCACTTATAAGTTATTCAACTTTACTATGTTGGACTTCAAACTTACACTTGAATTCTCAATAGAAATAGAGGATGTAATTCCTAAATTACAGCTATGGAGATTTTTCTATTTACAAGATCGTATCTTTAACACTCTTTCTAATTGTTACAAATACCATATATGCAAGACCTCTTTGGAGATTTCATGAAGATATCTGTCAATTAGTCATTGGAGTTATCCAAGTTGGTTGTAATTTCTCTTGAGAGTACCTCTTTTCTCATAATTATCTATGTTTAATTTGCCCATGAATGATTGGATTAGATATAATGTGAAGAACAAATAAGCTCGATGCCTTGAATATCTCCAAATTGTCATTGTGGGAGAAGTTTCTTAAGCCATTTAAATCACATGCAGTTGTTACCATGGTATAGTATTTAGTTTTGAAACTGGAAAAGTAATATTTGTACTATGCTTTTTGCTTCTCCATGATATCAAATTTACGTTGAGAAGAACATAATAAGATAGATATGCTATCTGATGGTGATGCTACTCTGTTAGCATTAGAGTAACAAATAATCTTATTGTTCCCTTTATTTTCATATAGGAGACCACAACCTGGTGCATTTTTTATATTTGAGGATGTACATGACAGTAGCACTATCACAAGGGACATCGAGTAGTTAACTTCACACAATGACTCCAAAGGTGATATCTAACGAGGTGATGGTGAGATAATTAAGTCTAATGATATCTTCCTCTGTCTTTTAGTGACTTCCCTTGATTTGGAAGAAGTTTGATGTCGGGGTCGATAGGAGTGTCATGGGGATGTCAATCTAGCATACCAGTCCCAGTGAGAAATAATTTCTAGACCATAATTGTTTGTTAGAAGCATACCAGTCCCAGTGAGAAATAATTTCTAGAGCATAATTGTTTGTTAGAAAATGGCAATGCCAGTGGTAGATTAAGCAACCTCAACGTCTAAAAAATTTTTAGTGTACCCAAATCTATAAATTGAGAGTCATCACTACTATTGATGACAATGTCGTAGACCACCCAATAAATGTCTTGGGTAGATGGAGAGTGAAAGCAAAAACACAAAGCGATCAACCTCAACAATTCATACCAAATTAGAGTAAAACAAAGCTAAAATGACCAAACAATGCACGGGAAGACTACTTCAAGCCATAGAGGTGTTAGGTATCAGACTACTTGCACAAGAACTCAACTAAAATAGAGAAGAGAAAAATTGAATAGCAATAATAGACAAAAGTGGAAATTTTATAATAGAAAGAAAAATTACATACCCCTTCTCTAATCCTAAAAATGACAACACTTTCTAATACTTAGAGAAGGAAAGAAATTTTGGGATGTTGAAATAAGGAGGGAGGGGCTCCTTTTATAAGAAGGAGGAGAGCCCCCCAATTGAAGTTCCCACCGATGTGGGACTTCTTTCTTCACAATCTCCCACTTGAAGATTTTGATGAAATTAATCAAATCTTCACACTATGTCTTCTTCTCTCACATCCATGTTGCTTATGCTTTCGATAGGCCATAGAGGGATCGACTCCGTATAAACTTGTCAGCATTAACCGGCTTTGTCATTACATCTGCTAGGTTCTTCTCAGTGTGGATCTTCTATAAATCTACACTTCCTTCTTCTACTACTTCTCGAACAAAATGATATCTTATTCCTATGTGTTTTGTCCTCGAATGAAAGGCTGGATTTCTTGCAATGTGTAAGGCACTTTGACTATCACAGTACATAACAATTTGTTGTTGCTTGTGACCAAGTTCCCCCATTATTCTTTTAATCCAGATAGCTTCTTTACATGCTTGGATGATAGCCATGTATTCAGCTTCCGTAGTAGACGAGCTACCACATCTTGTAACTTGGATAACCAACTTACTGCCCCTCCATTGATGGTAAACACATAACCAGGTAGTAGACTTCCTTTTATCCGGATCACCTGCAAAATCCGAATCAACATAGCCTCTAACAACTGCTTCGATCCTCCATAACATAATGCAACATTTGAGGTTCCTTTTATATACCTAAGGATCCTCTTCACATTTTGCCAATGCTCTCCACCAGGATTCCCCATGAATCTACTAACCACTCCCACTTGCTTGTGCAATGTCCAGATCTTGTACAAATCATGACATACATAAGACTTCCCACTCGCTGATGCATACGGTACTCGAGACATTTCAATCCTCTCCGCTTCACTCGCTAGGACTCATACTTGAGGATAACTTACAGTTGACGGAAGTGGGGTAGAAATTGGCTTGCAATCTTGCATGTTGAAGCGCCGCAAGATCTTAAGTAAATAATTCTTTTGAGAAAGCCAAATCTTCCTATCTTTTCTGTCTCGGTGAATTTGCATCCCTAAAATCTTGTTTGCTTGGTCCCAAGTCCTTCATATCAAACTCCCTAGCCAATTGTGCCTTCAATTCTTGGATTCGAGCTTTGTTAGGGCCTACCACCAACATGTCATCCATATACAACGACAATATGATGAAATCATTTTCTTCAAACCTATTGTGGTAAGTACAATGGTTCGAACTTAGTCCGTAGTATCCGAGGCTAATAATGAAGGAATCAAATCTCTTATACCAACACCTTGGCGCCTGCTTTAGACCAGTATAGAGATTTGTTCAACCTGCAAACCAAGTTTTCTTGCTCTTTGAAGCCTTCGGTTGGAGCATATATATTTCCTCTTCAAGTTCTCCATGAAGAAAAGCGGTTTTTACATCCAATTGCTCAAGATGTAAATCAAATGCAGCACACATCGCCAGGACAATTCGATTGTTGTCAATCTAACAAGCTGGTGAGAATATCTCGTTGAAATCAATGCCTTCTTTCCGAGCATATCCTTTTACCACCGAGCCTAGCACGATATCTTTCCACTTGATCATTGGCATCTCTCTTGATCTTATAG